TAGCGATGACAGAAAGAGAATTGATGCCTTTGAGTTGTGGTGCTGGAGAAGAATGTTGAATATATCAAGAACTGCCAGAGGAACAGGTTCATCCTAGATAGGGTGAAACCAGGCTTCTCTTTGGAGGCAAGGATTCTGAGGCTTCATCTGACATACTTTGGGAATGTGGCAAGGAGGGACCAGTCCTTGAGAGGGCCATCATGCATGGAAGGACGGAAGGACAGAAAAAGAGAGGGAGACCATTGATGAGATGAATTGATTCAATGACTAGGGTAATGAGGGTAGGTGTATCAGAGACAGTATAGGCACAGGATAGAACAGTTTTCAGGGCTGTTGTACATAGGGTCACTATGAGTCGTAAGCAACTCGATGAAAACAACAACAACTGATATAATGAAAATATCCTTCACAGTAAGATTGGTCTAAAATGAGTCTTTAACAATCTCATTTTTCCTATTTCACTGAAAAAAAAATGGAGCCTTTCTTGAATTTTAAAATGACTTGTTGTGCATGAATAAAACCATTTACATAGAATTTGTTTACATCAATTATTATCTTTAAAATTGTTATAAATGTTTAAGTCATGTTTACTTTTTACAATGTGTTAGAGAAAATTGAATCTTTGTAAAACTTTTTGGTTAAAGTTAAACTTTGAAAACCCAGCAAGACAATAATTTAAATAACTTGTGAAAATTCAGAAAGAAAAGAATGTTAATATTAATGTTTCATGGAAGAGCATTGAACTTATGAATTTGTGGGGTTTTTAATAACAAGATGTATATAATCTTTTAGGCAATCTTAAAGCCATAATTATGTCAGCCATTTGTGTAATATACCAATATAAATAATTCATTGATAAAGCTACTTCAGTGATCCTTTTAGTGTGTCAACCTCAATAAACTCCCTCTTAACAACTTCTTTCTGGCTTAAGAACATGAATATGCTTGCAATGTAAAAGTTGACTCAGGTGGGCAAAAGAACATAAATTCTATTGACTCATATTGGGTGGGGTAACTTGTTCTTTCTTACAATGAGGTTTTGTTCTATAATTGTTTTCTAGGCATGAATAGAGAAAAGTCTATTTAGGCAATATGAAAAAGATACTTTAATTGAATCAGGGGAATTGATGTGCTTCTTGTTTTGAAGAGTCTAAATAAATATATGACAGTCTAGATAAGGTAGCATTCTTCTTAGCTACAGTTTACCTGACTTAGCCTCTTAGTATATATTCTCTTTTAAAGAAATGAACTCCTAAATGAGAATAAGAATTTAGAGCCTTAACTAGGAGAGTCAAATGACACCATTTAATAACTTAATTTTTATCATAGTTTTTTAAATTTTACTCTTTCCTCTAAACATTTTTAAGTATACGTTTATATGATAAAAGCATTAAAACTTTATCTAATTTTTTTCTACATATTGGTTCTTTTGATAGGAGCTTATTTTATCATTCTTTTGACAAATATCTCTCAGATGGAAATTTGGAAAAACAATTGTTAATGTGTCCTTCCTGCCTCCCAGTTTAGACTTGACAGAACTCAGTAAAAGACCAGGTAGATTTTAGAAATATACCATGGTATATAAATCCACTCTTATGAAAAGTAAAGGAAAAGTCTGCAAAGAAAGAAATTGTGATTGTTATCAGAAATAGGAGGGGAAAAAAACCCAGTAAATAGATAATTGTAATATTGTACTATGAGTGAAGGGAGCATGGGTGGTCTAGTAGTGGCAAGAATTTGCTCTGCAATCCCAAAGGCATGCGGTTCAAATGCACCAGGTGCTCTGTGGGTGAGGGATGTGATTAACTGCCTCTGAAAACCTTCAGGTGGGTCAGCTATGGGTTGGTTCTGACTCAGTGGTATACAACAAGAACAAAATTATTGAAGGGAAAAGCGATTTACAATATAGGGGGAAATAAAATAAAAATATATAACGTGACATTTGAAACAACAGTGCCTTTTAAACTAGTTCTTATTTCTAGGATTTTGTCTAGTGTCTCAGTGCAGCCATAGAAACAGCTCTAAGAGTCCCAGAATTTTGACTATGAGATCAACGTGGGAGATCCCAGAATCAAAACATCTAATGATGGAAATAGCTTATTCTCTGATGTTTCATGCTAGATCTTGGCCCTGACTCTCAAGATACCAAGTTTAGTCCACTAAGAGGTTTTAATAAAAGTACTTTTCAATTTTTTTTTGTAACAAACCTTCTATTCTTATAATAATTCATTCTGCCTCTAGAATTTTACTGTGTGACAGTGATAGAGAACATAGTGCACAGGCCAACTTGAGGGTAGTGAGTGACCTAATAAATGGTTTATATCACATGGAATTTGCACACATCCCCATGGATTCACAAAGCAGGCTTGGGTGAGGAAAATATTAGAGCATACATTTATGTTCATTGTTACAATTTTTAGTCTTTGTGGGGTTTTTTAGTCTTTGTTTAGTCTGTACATAATGTATATACCCACAAATGTTATGTACTGTTAAGTTGAAACCGACTTATACTTGACCCACCACAGGTTTTTAAAGGTGATAAATTGCATCAGAAGAGATTGCCCATCTTTGTCTAGTTGAACAGCTTGTGGTTTTGAACGGTGCCCCTTTGAGTTGGCACAGTTCTTTATCACCAGAGGAGGTGTCAGCAAATAGAATATATAGTTAAATATACATATATTAGTTGTATATGATAAAATTTTGTTTGTACTGATGGCAGTACATTTAGAATGTTTTGAGACCAAGTAAGACTTTTACAGAGCTTTTAAGGCAATAATCTTTATTCTGAGACTTATCAATATCTCCATAAAATAGTAGTCACAATTTTGTGTATATGTGCATAATACATGTTTTTCTTAAGAGAAAATCCATAACTTTCATCAGATTTTTAAAGGAGTTTTTTAATAAACCACTTTTCTGTGATTTCTGGTTCACCTAAATCTTGTTTTGGTCGAACTATACCTTGTTCTGTGTAGGACTGCTAATTACGGAAGTTCAGCTCTATCAGGTGCTCTAGAAAAAGATGGGTTGTCTCCTCCTCTTGAGACATCACTCACTGAAACTCCCTGTTCTTGAGTTGATGCTGACTCACAGTGACCTTCCATCCTGTTTCTGAGGCTGCAAATCTTAATTGAAGGAGACTGCCCTTCTTTCTCCTGGGAGCAGCTGGTGAGTTGAACCACTGGTGATGCACTTTGTGGGACTTTTGTTTAGTGACCAGCATTCTATCGATTAGGGAGCTCTGGTGGCCTAGTGGTAAGGAGCTGAGCTGCCGACATGAAGATATGCAGTTCAAATCCACTAGATGTTCTGTAGGAGAAAGATGGGCATTCTCCTCATGTGTGCTTTTGTGTCTCTGAAAACCTATAGAGTCAGCTGTTGGTCATTTCAGGCTCAATATTACACACAACAACAAAAACAGCAATACTATGGATTTCATTGTCAGGTCTCAAACCACCACAAGATTGCACTATTAAATTCAGATGATAATATATTTATTTTCTTGAAAAGAAGTTTGCTCCTTTCCCCCCTTACATAATTAATATTAAGCATGTGTTAAGCATTGCTCTGAACATTGAGATGCTAGGTATTAAAAAGGCAAGGTCTAGAAAACCATTCCAAGATTGCACTGCGTGAATCTGAGGAGTCCCGAATATTTTGCGGCCTGAGATTCCAGTTCAACTGCAGTGTGAGGGCCTGTTCCAGTTTTGCCATTGCATCGAGGACCCTTCTTGAATTTTCAGTTGCAAAGCTGCTGGACAGCTAGTTTTGCATTGCATGCTTAGACCCGTTATACCCTAAAATTGGCCTAGAAAGGGAGTGTGCTTCAAATTGAAATTGTACAAAGTAAAAAAAAAAAAAAAGGCAAGGTCTTTGTCCTCATAGAACTTAAAAAAGATAAACAACAAGGGGGAAATGATTTCTGGTGAAGTGTGCTATGAAGACAAATAAGACAGAGAGCCACCCCACCCCCACCCCACCCCGTTAGGGTCTGTGGTAGTTTTGAATGGAGAAGGCAGGGCTGCTCTCTCCGAGGAAGTGACATTTGAAAGGGGACTGGCAGTGAAGGAATCTGGAGAACAGACTCTTCCCCACAGAGGGGCCAGAGAAGGGACATTGAAGGTTTCCTAACGATTCTTGTTTCATGTTACCTGTCACAGGCATCCAGTTGTCAGCTGAGTTACCCATCCTCAGTGGCTTGCTTTTGTGAAGGCTCAGATTCAGAATGGGTAGCCCACCAGACATGTTGGTTCCAGCGTAAAGCCTCACCACTAACGGGAATGTGCTGTGTAGAAATGTAGGTTAGGATTGGCCTGTCAGACAGTGATTGTGTATGTTAAACTAGGTCATTCATTTACGTACTACACACAATGGAAAAAAAGTCCATGGAAGTTATCTAATTTGTACTTATAATAAAATATGTCTTTTACCTGAGTTTTATGAAGGATTATTTTGATTATTTTATTTCTTTTTAACAGGAATCACCAGATTTGATCTACTTGGAGATTTTGGAAGGTTTAATTGGCTGGGAAATTTCTATATTGTATTATCCTACAATTTGCTTTTTGCTATTGTGACAACGTTGTGTCTGGTCAGAAAATTCACTTCTGCTGTTCGAGAAGAACTTTTCAAGGCCCTAGGTAATCTTGAATACTTTTCTTTCTGCCAACTAATAATCACAGATTTAAATTAGTTTTAAATCTCCAACTGTACAATCTTTCCAAATATATTAGATGTTGTTGCCGTCAGTTTGCTTGCAACTCATAATGATCCTATGTACAGTAGCCCTGAAACCTGCTCTGTCCTGTGCCAACTTTATTTGAGGTCTCAGCCTCAGTTGCCATGTCTGCTAGTCAAAGTGTGTTCTGTTGTACATAGAGTTTTTAAAGACCTGTTATTTCGGAAGTAGATAGCCAATCCTTCTGCCTAATCTGTCTTAATTTGAGTGCTCAGATTTAAAAATATGGAACACTTCATGAATTTCTGTGTCCTTACAAATCAAATTGCTGATTTTAATCTTTATAACTAAACTAGGACTCAGCTTCCCCATCTGTAAAGTAGTTGCATCTTGTTTCTCTGAGGATCGCCGTGAATACACAGGGCACATTGAGGAACTCAATAAATGTTCTCCTATTGTTATAATAATGTTTGTAATGATAGGGCTCAGGAAAAGATGTTTAAAGGCATATTTTTTGGCAATCATATCACTGATTATTTTGGGCTATACTTTGAGGGGGCATGAATTTACAAGCATCAGGTTGACCTATTCTCTTCAGTGTATTATATTCACAATAAAAGTACTAGCATTCTTGGGTGAGAGGGTATTCCTGATCATGTGTACTGAGTCACAGGCATGACGACATTGTTGGAAAAGTTTGGCTGAAACGTATCATGTAAGCGATATGTATATCTTTCATGCTTGCTTCCACATTAGTACTAAATATGTTTCCAGGATTTTTATTTTAAGATCACGGCAAAATCAGATGCTTGTTATATACTGTCTAGAATCTTGAATTTGTAATTTTATAATGAAAATAAGGAGACGGCCGGACTTTCTTTAGAAATTTCTGACATTAACTGATTTTCCTGATTAGACATAAAGTTGAATGCTATATTCAGTTTGGTATTGTGACTTTTAGCAGCTGCTATATGTTATATTGATTGATTCATTAAAATCTTATTTTTTAGGCAAATTAAACCATAAGAGAGCAGCAATAAAGCTTCTCATAACACTACACTTTTCGAACCTTGATTTTAAAAAAGTGACCTTTTGTGGGGGTGGGGAGAACAGATTTCAGGCACTCTGTATGCCTGTCACTTTGAATTTGTCCCTGTTAGTAGGTAGGTTATAAAATACTGGCGTAATAGGAAAGAGTTATTATGTATTGTTTCAACCTTAGGACCAGATAATTTTTGGATTTTAATTCTCAGTTCATAAGTCTGGCTAAATTTAAAATAAGTTACCTATTTAGAGTTAGAAATGATAATTTTAAAGCTGTTGTAACATTGGGAATATTAGCCACAATCTCAGATCAATTCCCATTAAAAATTTGAAGTCTCAGGTATACCTGATTCAGGCCATTGAAACGTCACTTGCTATGAATCTGAGGATTAGAGCGCTTTTGGCCTCATGGCAAGAAGCTGTGCTGCAATTCGGAAGGCACATGCTTCAAATCCACCATGAGAGAAGGATAGACAGCCTTTTCCTGTGTGATTAACTGGCTCTGAAAACTTGCCGAGGGTCAGCTATGGGTGGTTCCGACTTGATGTTACACAACAACAACAAAGATGACAGAAGAATAACATTCTCTGGAGCTCTGGTATTGGAAAAAAATACTGAATGTCCCTTGGATTGGGAAAAGAACAAATAGAGGCAAAAATAGTGACGCTGTGTCTCACATACTTTGGGCATGTTATTAGGAGAGGCTGTTCTTTGGAAAGGGACACCATGCTTAGCAAGGTGGAGAGTCAGTGAAAGAAAGGAAGACCCTCAGCAAGATGATTGACACAGTGACTGCAGCAGTGGGCTCCAGTTTGTCAGATTGTGAGGATGTCACAGGATAGGGCAGAGTTCAGATCTGTTATTAATAGGCACCTAACAACAACAAAAATCTACAGCCTCTGAAAACCTGCTGGAAGGTTGGCTGAGCCAGTTTCGACATGGCATAAAAAGCAACAAAAATGAGATATCAAATTGAATCATCATTAAGTATTCTGAGTACTATTTTGCTAAGAAAGCTTTTATTCATTTATTTATTTGAAGTAATAGTTGTGATTCTGACACAAGTTTACAGAAAAATTGAATTTTCATTCATTCATTGTTACACATTTATCTCCTTCTCCCACGCTTCCCCCATCCCAATTCACTTTCTTTTTTAAAAAAATATTCCTTCATTGTTGCACAATTTCCTCCCTTCCCTTCCCCTCCCCCACCCCCAATCCTCTTTGCAGTATACCTCTTACTCTGGACCATTATCTTATATATAATGCCTAACCATATATTCCTTTAAACAGTTCTCTCCCTCATCTGTTCCAACACAGTGTTCATTACCTATCCTCCTTTATTGTTGTTGTGTACCACAGAGTCTGAACCAACCCATAGTTGACCCTCTGATGGGTTTTCATAGGCAGTAAACTCGCAGGAGGAGATTGCCCATCCTTCTCCTACAGAGCAGCTGGTGGCCTCAATCCACTCTTATTAAAGATGTAAAATATCAGTTAAGGTAAAAGGTGTTACATGTTTGCATCTATTTTGATATGGAATTCTCAAGTGTTGTGTAAAATTAGCAAATTTTGTTTCTTTTTCAAACTTTTTTTATAACGTTCTTTGGAATATCTAAGTGGTACCTTAAATAAGATTTCACTCAAACTCAGAAATCAAATGGTTTTATGTATCAGAACACGTCTCAACTGCTCTTGAGTCAGAACCTAATCATAGCTGAGGCTCCAACAGGTGTTTGGAGGCTGTAAATTATGAGAAGAGATTTCTCACCCTTCTCCATGAAACCACTGATGGATTCAAACCACAGAGGGAGTTGGCTTGTGAGTTGGCAGCACAACTTCCTATAGACATTAAAAATAATTTTTAAAAAAAATTTTTTAAATTTTTTTAAATTCTTTTTTAAAAAATTCTGTGAAACATATTTGTTGTTGTTGTTAAGTACCTTCAAGTCAGGACTGACTCATAGCTGGCCCTCCAGTTCCTTTTCAGAGGCAGTAAATAGGATGGGAAGAGATTACCCATCTTTCTTCTACAGAGAAGCTGGTGGATTCAAACCACCTGTCTTTGAGTTGGCAGCACGTTCTATCCACTAACCTACTAGAGCTCTCTGAAATGTTTTGGTAATAAAATATAATTTATGTTCAGTTTGTTTTTATCATTCCTCTCTCATATTTTGCTACTTTCCCCCTTACTTTTAAGTTACATTGCTGATATTTTGCTGCATCTTTCCATTTTCCTGTATATATGCTTGTGGGGCGGGGGGGATTATTTTTGGAAACAACCACCACCACAAAAACAAAAAACACCAAAAAACCTCATGCTTGTCTCAGGTTAAGTTTCTGGGAAGCATGCTCTGAATTAGACATGTGCTCGCCAGAGTTGGTTAATGGGAGGGTGCGATGGACCATCGCCTATGAAGGCAGGGGAAGGAACAGGAGCAGGACAGAGAAGCAGTGCTGTGACACCATCTCAGTGGAAGCCTCAGCGGATCTGATGAACTGTAGTGAAGATGGGCCGTCATTCAGCACTGCTAGGAAGGGGACAGACTTTTCCATATCTTTGTGCTCAGTCTCTGGCGGTAGCAACTTGAGAAGGGCATGTTGTCATTGTTATTCTGTACCATTGAGTTGGAACCAACCTGTAACAGACCCTCCAGTGGTTTTTCAGAGGCAGTCAGTCTCCCAGGAGGAGATTACCCAGCTTCTCCTGGGGAGCAACTGGTGGGTTCAAGTGCCTTTGGCTTGGCGGTGCAACTCCTCACCACTAGGGTGGTAGAGCTCCCTTAAGGGGCATGACTTCTTCTGTAATTTAGACCATCCTCTGAAAGCAGTGGACCATACAGGCAAGATGGCTCTTGTCCTATAGGGGGTTGCAACTAGAGCATCAAAATTTTGACAATAAAACTTTCCGTTCTGTTTTGTAACATCCTAACCTCCACCTGCTCTGTAGCCACTCAGCGGTACATCCTTTCTAATAATTTTCTTCATTTTTCCTACAGGGCTTCATAAACTTCAATTATCAAATAGCCCAAGAGATTCCGAAACAAAACCTTCTGCCAATGGACATCAGAAAACACTGTGAGGTACATAATCAACATTCTGCAATCAAGAGACAAGAGAACCCCAAACTCGTGACATTCCTGTCAGTCATGGAAGTGTTTTCATACTGATTTGGGTTCATATTTAGGACCTGGGCATGTCAGTGTCAATATTTTCATAATCTACTAAGAATTTGGCCATTGCCAATCTTTTTTTTTTAATGTCACTTTGTCATTTCCAGTGAAATATAGATTCCTTAGAGGCTCCTAGAGTCTGAGAAAAAGCAGCAGATCCTTCTGTGGACATATTTGCCTGCATCTGTGAAGAAGATCGCCCTAACAGCAAAATCCTTTTTGTCAAAAATTAAAATGTTAGAAAAGGCAAACTTAGGACCTTTCAAAGGCTCACTTGAGTCTCATTATATGTTTTATCAAAGTGTAGAAGCATACATGCAAGACATCTTTTAAGTGAAATTCCTGTAAAGTTCCGTTTTCAGATGCAAAGCGGTCATCATTACAGTGGGTGCAATGAAACTGTAATGATTAGAAATTTCTTTCGCATTTCCTTAAAAAAAATCCTAGTTTCTCATTTATGTTTTATAATAATATTGATTAGACTTTGAGCCAAGGGACAAATACTGAATTCTTTTTAAAAAAATATAAGGCTTTGTAGAAAACCGTAAGAGTATCTTGTACAGTAGAATAGGCTGTAGTAGGAAGCACGATGTAATCATAAGTCTATGAATGTTCATATGTATATACTTCAATATTACCTCTAATAATATAGTTGCCAGTGTTGAACACACTTGTAACTTAGATTTTTGCCTTAAAGGCTATATGTACCCTCAGTTGTTTTTGTTTTGATAACATTTTCCTTAAAAAAAATAGTTTAATCTTTTGTTCTTTGTTTTCTTTATGAAAAATATAAAGGCTCATTGGTAGAAATCACTTCTTTCAACGCATTCTTTGGGTTTTGGTTACCTTTGTCTATGCCAGTTTAAATGCCAGACTGATAAAAAAAGTTATCTTTTTAACACCCAAAACTCACACGTGTCAGTATTCATGACAGAAGAATAATTTTGTAGTGTAATACGATCTGATACTCATCCAGTTTTTAAATTGTAAATAATTGTTGGGGTGGGCACTAACATTAAGTCCACTTAATAAAACCAATGAGAATCATACTCTATGTTACTACCCACTAGGATAAAATGCTTAAATTCTGCATGCAAAAGATACGGGATGTTCCTGTTTATATGTAATCAATCCATAGTGATATAATTTATATAAGTATATACACTCACATGCACTATGTGTATGCCAACAGAATTGTCTGTTCAGACAACACCATTTTTTATCAAATTGTTGAAATTAAAGTTTTTTTAAAGAAACTTAGGGAAAAATAGGCTTGTATGTATTTCACATCAAAACTTCTGCTTAGAACTGAAATAATAAGAAAACACCTGTGTATTTATGAACTACATCCAGGGTACCTTGTTCTTACTTATACCCCTTCTGGGGGGTTTTCATCTTCTTATTATATAATTTCGTTTTAATAAAAGAACATTTCTATTCTATGTAATACTCATCAAACACCCTCAGTCTGGTATTTGCAAATTTTTCAGCAGTGCAGTTTATCTCATAAAATCTGCATACCTAGAAGATGCATAAAAATGACTTGCTTTCTAATTTCACTGTTAATTATACCTATTTAAGCATTAATTTCATGTTTTGATTTTTCATGAAACCTGGAATACATACTTTGAGCCGACCAAGTCAAAAGATGACAAGACAGGCGCTCAGGAGGGCACTCTTTCCACTTGAAACTCACACAGAAGCCACTGCACTTGCAAAGGCAGACTTCCTGATTTTTAGTATGATGTCTGAAAACATTTGAGTAAAAGGTTAAACTTTTCAACATCTTTCTCACCTTTTTAGGGAGCTCTGGTGGCCTTGTGGCCAAAAGCTGTGCTGCAGTCCTGAAGGCACACAGTTTGAGGTTACCAGCTGCTCCGTGGGAGAAGGATGGGCAACTGCCTTTGAAAACCTGCTGGAGGGTCAGCTGTGGGTCGGTCCGACTTTATGGTATACAACAATCTCAACTTTTTATTTCACAATTTCTTTTTGAGGACTTAAGCCAGTTTGAAGCTATAAGCTTATAAATACCTAAAACTCTTACTGGATGCCATCTCTAGCGCTATTGAAATAAATATGAGGCATGTGAAAGGATACTCTTGTTTATGGAAACAAGTGCTGATTGTTAAAATACTTATGCTGCTGAATGATGACAATAGCTTTAGATCCCCAAAGCAGCAATATATTCCTGAGCATATACACAAAACCTTTTTATTAAGTGGAAGCTTGACTTTAAAATCATAGGCTTCCATTGGGCATATGCTGGAAGCTGGTTTGTAGGAAACAGGACAGAGGTGGAAGGCAAAATACTGAGCCGAACTTCTGCTGTGGCCTGTACACCAGTGATAAAGTATGCAGACGACAGACTCTGGAAGACTAGAGATTCCAGTGTTAATAGTTAGACAGTGATGAATGGCTGCTTATTAGAAGATGGGTGTGCATGATTGCGTCTTTTCATTCTTTTTCACCTTTAGTATCTATTTCCAAAGGACATTAGGTGCTCAATTCCAAAATTTCTTGAGAAGACTCAACAGAATCTTCTCCTTAATGATTTCTGCAACATTTCAGCAAATAATTTTAAAAGCTTAAGTTCCATGGATTATAGCATTTGTATTGACTTTTCCTGATTTTCCCATGTTAGTTTTAGATAACATACTTACTTCCCTTTATGTAAATTTTGTATAAAATTAGGCTTGCTCTAAATATGAGATTTTATGTGAAAGTTACACACACACATACACACACACACACACACACACACACACACACAGAGGAAAATGTTAGCTCCTTAACATGCTACACTTTGGGGGAGAAACATGGGGGTTATCAGTGGATAGTGATGAAACCTATGTTGATTTGATTGATGAGTGCATTAAAGATGCATTTACAATCATTCTTTGAAGCATCACTAACTGCTTCACTGTGCTTTGAGCATGCCAGGACTTTTCTGTGGCCTCAGCAACATTCAGTTCACTCACAACCAATAACCTAAGTTTCAGTCATTCAGAAGCCATTATAGAGCTTTCTTGGTCATTAGCACGGTGTCTACTGCACAAAGGAGGAACTCTTACAAGATTTTTTTAAATGAAATATTGGCTTTTCCAACTTTCAAATATAAATATGATGTTACTTTTAAAATGTTTGAAAGCACTGGTGTGTTATTTTTGTTTACAAAATTATACTGTGAAATTGTCATTCAGTCTTGTTTGTTTCTATGAGATATGTTCAGTGTGACTTTTTAAATGTTTTAGAAATTAAAGTTTTCTAAAAAGTGAATTCATATTTTGGTCCACAAACACTAAGATGTTTGTTTTTGTTTTTAAAAATATTACATAGTGCACTTAATAAAAATTGGGGGAGGGTGTGTGTATGTGCATGTGTACATGTATATGTGGTACCATCGAACCAGACCACCACAGCTGACCCTCCACCAGGTTTTCAAAAGCAGTGAATCACACAGGAGGAGACTGCCCATCATTTTCCTGCATAGCAGCTGGTGGCCACGGACCACATGCTTTTGGGGTTACACTGCTGCTTCTTGGCACTAGGCTATTTGTATTTCAACTTTATGAAGGTCAGTAAATACACTGTTCTTGTTCAGTAGGGGGAAACTACCAGGTGCTTCTTTGAGGCAATGATGGTTAAAACTCCATCTCACATATTTTTAGAAAACTTTAAACTTTCTCACATACTTTGGTCTTGTAGCAGGAATGCCCAGTCCTTGGAAGAAGATACCATTCTGGGGAAGGTAGAGAGTGGGAGAGGAGTCCCTCAACACAGACTGACACACAGACTGTGAAGGTGGTATAGGTTGGGCCAAGGTTCAAATCTTTTGTTCATAGGGTTTGTATGACACATAGTCAACTCAATGGCAGTTAACAACTGTAAAGAAATATATTCTGTTTGTTGTAGGAAGCTCTGCTGGCCTAGCAATAAGCTGTGCTGCAACCCAAAGGGATATAGTTTGAATCCACCAGCTGCTCCCCAAGTGAAAGATGGGCAGTCTCTTTCTGCATAAATTACTGCCTCTGAAAACTTCTTGAAGGGTCAGCTATCAGTTGATTCTGACACAACAGAACATAACAACAGCATGTTTGTTGTGGAGTTACTGTTTGTTGTTATGTGCCATCAAGTCTCCTGCTACTCATAGTGACCCTATGTAGAACAGCTCTGAACCCTCTATTCTGAGCCAATTTTATTGTCTCTGACACATCTACCCTTATGACCCCAGTCACTGAGTAAATCCATCTCATCGAGAGTCTTCCTCTCCAGCACTGTCCCTCCAGCTTCCAAGCATGATGTCCCTCTCCAAGGAATGGTCCCTCCTTGCAACATGTCCAAAGTATGTCAGACAGAGCTTCAGAATCCTTGCTTCAAAGGAGCAGCCTAGTTTCACCCTCCTGTTTGGAGGTAGAATCATGAATGCTCCTCTCTAGCACCCTAACTCAAAGGCATCAACTCTCTCTCTGTTATCCTTAATCATTGTCAAGCTCTCTGATACATAGCAAGTAATTATGAAGACCATGGCCTGCATCAGGTGCACCTTAGTCTCTAGATTGAGATAATTTTTCTGTCATAGATCCCTGACAGCAGATTTTCCCGATGAAATTTATCTTTTGATTTCCTGGCTGCTGGTACCAAGATTGTTAATTGGGGAGCCAAATTAGCTGAACATGTTAACAATCTCAATCTCTTCTCCATCCATCATGATGCTGCCACTTGGCCCAGTGTTAAAAATCTTTGTTTCTTGATCTTGAGTCTCAATCCATATTGAAGGCCGCAGTCTTTCACCTTCTTCAGCAAATGACTCAGGTCCTTTTCAGTTTCAGCAAGCAGGGTTGTATCATCTACATAACACAGGTTGTTGGATGAGCCTTCCTCCAAACCTGATGCCACATTCTCCTCTTCATAGAACGCAGCCTCCCAGGTGATCTCTTCTGCATATAGATTGAAAAGATATAGCCACAGGACA